GTGCCGGGCTTGGAAAAGGGGCGACGGAGGGGCATCGCTTCAATGGAGGGAGTTGGTTTCCTGGCTCAGGGTGGCGGCAGGAGCCGGGCGGCTGTTTGGGGAAATGACGCCAGTCCGGCTTTTATAAATATTCCGCCATGGAGCGTCCACCTTTGACCCTCGGGAAGCTCAGCCCGGCCCCAGAAACCCACACAGGGAAGCACAACAGGGCGCCTTGTGTGTGTGTTTGTGTGTGTGCGTGTGCGTGTGCGTGTTGGGGGCTGGATTCGGCTTGGCGTTCCTGCGCCACCTGGCTGGCGAGGTTCTTCCCTGGCATTCAGGGTGGAAGGAATGTGCCTAGACCCGAAGGCACGCCACGTGTACCTGTGAGGTCCCGGAGGGTGGCTTTCTGCTTTCCAGGAGCAGCGATGATCCTCCTCCAAAAGGAGGGTGTTGCTGACTCACAAGGAGGCAGTGGGAAAAGGGAGGTGGTCTCGGGCGCCCCGTGGCACCACCAGAGAGGGACCCTGGCGTTCCTCCTGGCCTCCCATTCTCAGATCTTGCAGGAAGAAAGAACCCAGGCGTCCTGCTGGCTTCCCTTTGTTCTGTCGTGCAGGATGATGGGAGCCCTGATCCATTCAGGTTGGGGTTGACAGCACCCAGAAGAAGAGGGCCCGGTTTTCAGTCATTGATCCAAGCGATGCTCTCCGTTTGCCAACTCAAGATTCTTTGAATAAGGGTCTGAAATAAACTGCAGACCCTGCAGTGAAATCAAGGGGCTTTTCGTATTCTCTTGGGGGTCTCTCGGTGAGGCTTTTAATGTGCTGTGGAAGAAAGGGTGGGGGTCATGACATATAGGGGAGGGGGTCTTTGCCTTCATATTCTCCCCCCCACGAAAAAAACGCCCTCTCCTTTTCAAACAGAAAACATTATTTTTAGAAGGTGAGAGAAATGCTGCCTCCTCGTTTTGTGCCTGTCCTCATGTTTTCTAGCAACGTTAATTAAAAACCCAGCAAGCCCATTTCTTCTCTCCCATCAACGCAACCGCTCGTTGTGGGCGGTCAGGTTGGGGGGGGGTGTCTGCAGAAGTCTCGTGAGACACAACTTGTGGGTTTGTCGTTGAGAGACACAAGGTGCTCCAAACCTATGCTAAACCTTGGGGCAATCAGCGGTTTGGGGCCAAAAACCTGCCTTTCAGGCCACTACACCGAGGTGTGTAATGAAGCACAGCGGTTGCCGTTGTGGAAAACACACCCTCCCAGTCCCTCCAGGATTGCCAATTTCCCTCCAGAGTTACGGCAAACACTCCTTTTGTGCTTGCAACATTCGGCGTGGGTTTGGTGAGGGTTCGGCGTGTGGACGGGGAACCCGTTTTAACTGTATGAACCCCATATCCGTGGCCCCAAACAGCCATAACTAACTCGAAGGGTTTGGCTTGCATGTGGAGGGGTTTGTGGGACTAGAGCGTCGGTCGTTAACACATCTGTGCTTTCCCACCATTTTTCCCCATCCCCTTTCCCCCCCATGAAAAACGCACGAAGGAGGAAACGGCTGCACGGTGCCTTTGGATCGGGAGCTTTGAGCACCCTCTGCTAACTGAGACAGAGTTTGGGAAAGCTGGATTCCAAGTGCCATCATCCCCGACCTAGTCCAGATTCAGGCCCTGGGGTTTTAAGATGATGCATCTGTGCATGAGCATTCGTTGATTTTGACCCCCCAGAGGTTTCAGAGTTTCTCCACCACAGCCTTTCATCCAATAGACATGGCTATTTAGGCAGGCTTTCCCTCCTGCTGTATTTTAATATCTATATTTTTACATCTTGGATTTGTACATGTTATTAGTTTTATTGTTTTTAAATTTTGTTATGCTTCCCAGAGTAGACTATCTGTCTAGACGGGCAGGATATAAATCTAATAAAATATACATACATACATACATACATACATACATACATACATACATACATACATACATACATA